GCTACTCAATAGCTCTCTGAGGGTCGCAGTGCCGAGGATGAAGATCCCCGAGGATCGCTCGCCGCGTAGTGCGGGCAGTGGGGCCCACAGCCCGCCCCTGCGGGAGCCCGTTAATGAGGTCTCGCGCGGCTGGGAGCCCAGACAGGAAGAGCATTTCGATCATTTCGTGCTGAAGCTTTGCACCTGCCATCAACACCAACCAAAAAGCACGGATTCTTCCCTTCGGCTGGTCTTGTATGCCTGCAGCTCCATATCGCAGTAAGCTAAGAGAGTGTGGGGCTTAAAGGTTCTGAGGGCCAACTCAGTCCATGGCTCGGGCCCCTACCTAGGCCTCAAGTGATCGCTTTCCCCAATCGTGCCTTGCCCTCCGCTGGAAACATGTCCAGTCAACAACCAACCAAATTCGAAGACAATGAAGCGACATGTTCTTGGATCTCAACACCAGGAGTAGGTTCAACCCCGCAACGCGCCGCAACGCGCTACATGCGATGACGATTGATGACGACTTTGCAAAACAGAATCCTTCCGGACCGTCTCGGAGCGTCTCCGTGAGTGTCACCGTGTCACCTGGTCTGGAAGGTCTCTCGCTGCCGCTCGCGGCGCGGGCAAAGCGGGCAAAGAGTGCCCTTGAGTCCCTGGAGCCTCTCAGCTGCCAGGGCCCCGAAGGAGCACACCAAACACACTATGAACACAGTCTCTACACTGGTATTTGAAGATTCTTTCTGTCACATGTCATGTCTGTGTTGTCTCCACTAGTGGCATTGGATTGCTGTGACCTTCACTTAACATATGGGCCACGGTGGAGTTCTGCTTCCTTTTCTTATTCTGTCTTTATCTGGGAGAGAGACGCTGGAGGTTGTAGCGGCCTCATCATCACTCTGAAGTATTTCAAAGAGTGTGGGACTTGATCTCTTGATGCGCCATGTGCAGCTTGGTCACCTCTCCTTGCGGCTTCTCAGGAGCATTGTGAACATGTGCGTCTTCAGGCAAGTTGCGGCTCCTTTGCCGTTCTCGTTTCAAACCAATTGTCGGTCAGGAAGTGGGATGAGGAGTTCAAAAGCATTGGCCCAGTCGTGCCTGCGTTTGAGCAAGCTGGTGGCTTGCCGGCCGCTCAGCAAGCGCTCTTCAGTGTTGGCGTGAGCGCTGTTTCTGGGATGGAGGGGGGAAGCAATTGCTGGGCTGTGCGTAGCGAGCGAAGCTGAGCACTTGAGGCGTGTTATGTTTTTTGGCCACTGCGTTGGCTAGCTGCCTATCCCTCCCCTGGCCCACCTAAGTGCAGGCTAGGGGGTTGCAGTTAGAAAGAGCCTGCTGTGCTTTAGTTTATAGATCGTGGATGGAGGGCGGGCTGCTTGCCACTTGCAGAGAATCTGGAGTCAGTTCTCGTTCTTGCTGGATACGGACACTACAAAGGATCGATTCGCTAACCCGAGTCGAAGTCAGCAGGGCCCTGTAATCTGTGTGCCTGCGTGTGTATGTGGTCAGTCATACATGCCAAGCACAATGAAGGAAGCTGTCTGCTTGCTGCCCGGTATTTGTGCTGGCTCAAATCTGTTTTAACGTTTACATGCTATCACCTGTCATGTGATTGCTATGTTCCTGCCAAAACAGTTGTGAACACTTCTGCAGTAGAGAGTGAGTGGGACATGTGCTGCGCATGTACATCCTGCGGATAGCATGCTGGTGGCTAGAATGTAAATGTTTGAACGGAGTAACTTCGGCTGATGAAGTCTCGGGCTGTAAGGGAGAGCTGCAACTGCGCCCTGCCCCAACGCATCATCCCCCCGAGTTGCAAGCAATTGCTGCTCCAGGCCATTTGTCCGCACGGGCCTTACAACAGCAGTACACTGAGAGTTCCGAATCCTCGGACTCGCACAGTATCTGTGCTGTTGAGTGCTGCGGGCAAGGTGAAGAGCCTCCGTTCTTGCAGGTGTAGAGGCTGTAACTGAAATTGGGGGGAGCTGCAGGCCAAACGCCAAAGGTGCCATGCTAGGGCGAAAGTTGTTTTTTTGACCAGCGCCTGCTTGGTTGGCTCCAAACGTTCCTTCAGGATACTGAAATCACGTCACAGACCCATCCCAGCAAAACCTATTGCACCAATCAATGACTCACAACTAATCAGATGGCTCTCCAGCGTTGCTGAGTGCTGTCGGCACGGTTCCATGAAATCGTTACTTCCAACAAAATGGAAAAATCAGAATCCTGACATTTCCTTCTCAGACTGAGGTGCGTGGGTCCTGGCCCCAGCCACTGCATTTCTGATAGCAAGAAATGTACATTTGTGCCACACGCAGACTGCTGCCGAAGAAGTTCATAATTGAAGAGTTTAGCATGTCAAAGGAACAGTCCTCTGAAGAAACCTCTTTGTATGGCAAAGGCCCGTACATGCTTAGCGGAAGCCCTTCGCTTGGCCCGGGTCTCAGCTGCAATTTCCGTTACGGCGGAATGGCATCTTATGGCCCGCGCTGGGCTTGGCTCATGATTGCTGCGGGTATTTCTTTGGCGCCAGAGATTCTTGGCAAGAACGAAGCAGATCGTATTCAGGGACTTAGGAACTTTCTGGCTAGAGGCAAGGGCCAGGGCTTCCTGCACGTGTCCTTGCATGTATACCAACGAAGTACTAAAATCTTTCAGTTGAAGACCCCGCGCCACGCAAGCATAATTTGGAGCAAGGTGAAGGAACCTTCGGCAACGTGAAGCTCGGCAGGCAAGGAGTCACCCAAACAAGTGTCATGAGTTCGTTTCAATTTAGCTTTGAGTTAGCCTCAATTCGTTGAGCCCATGTTGAGACAATGCCAGGCACTTTCAGCTTGTTCATGATTTTTTCCTTTAGGTGACTCCTGTAACAATGTGCTCATGCAGTAGCCTCCTGTTCCAGACACATCCTCACTGGGGAGAGGGTTGCTGTCAAAGTCCTGGAGAAAGACAGCATCCAGGAGGCTGGCGACTCTCAGAACTTCCTTGCAGAGGGCGCTGCAAGAACATATTGCATTGCCCTGCTCAGGTGGCTGATATCGAGCGCGTGGCTCGCGAAGTTCAACTTCTAAGACTGATCAGGCACATACATATACATGTGCTGTAAAGATGTTCCATCTGCATCAACAAGCAGACTTTAGCTGTGTATATAGAAGCGGAGACTGGTCGGTGCTCTCGAGGGTCATGGTCGTTGTTGTGTGAGTTGGGGTCGGCGTGTGTGAAAGCAGGCATCCACATGTCGTGCACTTTTTCGAGATTCTCCAGACTCGCGGACAGCCTGAGCCCCAGGTAGTCTGAAAGATCGCGGCAAAGCCTATTTGAGGGTCCCGTCCTCTCTGCCAAACTTTTGTTGGATACTTTGGGCTCTTGAGCTCCCTACAACAAATGCCATGAATTCCACGGTTCCACGCGAGCCATGAAAACATATCAGTCCACTGATTTGCTTCGCCACGAAAGTGCATTCCCCGCCTCAGCAATTTATCACGATGGGGGCAGGGAAACTAACGGACGCCTTATGATGCTGATGCTCGGCCAGTGACGGTTTTGCGGCATGTTTTGGGCACGGCGGAGGCCGTGTTTGCTAAGTTACGGAGCATATTAGCAGAGTATGAAAATTTCATCTGCAGCCGCACCGGTTTGGGTTGTTGCGCTCTGAGTTTCTCGCTCATGGGTCTACACCCTTCCGCCCATGCTCCTGCACTCGACACCTTTAAAGAAATTACCTTCACGTGAATGCTGCACGCCTGTCGCGAGCCTGCTCCTGCCTCCCGCTTCGAAGCTTTCGTCGCCCGCCTGGGCGCAAGTTTCCTTTTGCGGGCTCCAAATTGTAGCTCCGCCTGAAAGATTCAGTTCCGTTCTTGGGACTTCATTTCCCTGCTTCAAAGCTTATTTCCCTCCTCACAAGTTTACATCCTGCGTTAGACACCTAAGGAAGCCAGGCCAATGGAGGAGGGCATGACTGCCCAGCATGCTGCATGCTAGCCCAAGCCAAGGGCCCTGTTGTGAGCCACCATGCCCGCCCAAGAGCCAGCAGTGCAGAAGCGGGTGAGCTGGATGCATTGAACCAAACGCCAGAAAACAACTGTCCAGATGTTACATGCTGGCCGTGGAATACCGAAAGCCAGCTGGCCCGACACTAATGCACTAAGGCTAAGGGATGATACGCCATCCCACAGTTCCCCAGCAACCCCACGAGCCCCAGTTGACGACAGAGCAGCAGCCAGCCAAAGCCAGCCAAAGCCAGCCAGTATAAAGCAGGCCCCCTTGCAGTGCAAGCATGCCTCCTTCGCTCAGTCTTCCAGGTGCAAGAGCATCCGATTGGCAATCAGAAAAATGCATGAAGAGCCTGCGCGGTCCAATTGCATGCCCAGAAACACAATAGCTAAAACGAAGGAGACGAAACAGTATGTGTCACTCACCAAGCACCCTGACAAGCCGGGGTGGGCGGATGTTTTGGAAGGAATGAAACCACAGCTAAGTGTTGGCCTTTCCATGTGTCTTGGGGTATCAAGACGCAGGGTGACACTTGATGACGGAGCGCGCGCATGAGCATCGCAACTGTCAGAACAGCTCTTGAAGCATCAAACGTGTTTCGCGATCCTACATCTCAAAGCTCTTTGTCATGGCCAGCGTGATTCGTGGGGTCGGAATTCGGGCAGCGTGCAAGGATTTACATGATGATGGAGTACGCACCTCGCGGCGATCTCTTCCAGTACATCATCAATAGTGACCCCAAGCTAGTCCTCGCGCCTCGCCTCAGTGGTTGTCAAGTGTTGATTTGGAAGCTGCACGAAAGACGGTTCGTGCGAGGAACCAGAAGCTTGTCGCTTCGTCCACCAGATCATCGCTGGTGCCGCAGACCCAAGGCCGCACTGCTTTCGTGGGTATCCCTAGAGAATGCTATGCAAGGTCGAGCAGATCCATGCGATGAACGTCGTGCACCGCACCGGGAACCTTTCATATTCTATTTGCTCCGCTGGAGCATTGTGCTGGGCAAACTGAGAACAGGTTCCTTCAGGCAAAGATTGATGTGGCATGCTGCAGTTGCTGAGGACCTGAAGCCGGAGAATCTTCTCCTCGACGAGCAGCAACCTCATACATTCGTCCATCAGGCATTACTTGAAGGGCCAGTCCAAAATGAAGCCTCCGCACAAGGCACAAGCGCATAAAGATTGTGGACTTCGGGCTGAGTAATGTGTGGAGCCCGCTAGATCATGCTGCCATGCCATGCTCAAGATGTCAAGAGTCAAGAGTTTGCACAGAGTCCCGCCCACCTTGCCTTCTTGTGCAGCGCTTCGACGACAACCAGCTTCTGAAGACAGCCTGCGGGTCTCACTGCGCGACTCTCGCTACTGTCTTCTCTACCTCTACCTTCTCGTCCTCAGCCCTGGCACGCCTGAGGCTACGCACCACCCGAAATGTTGTCACGGCAGAGCTTGCTGCTGAGTGCAGTTGTTCCAGGGATAGATGCTGCCACTTGCTACCTCTGCGTAACATGTGAAGGCTATGTGCCACAGATGTGCGATTTGTGGAGTTGTGGGGTCACGCTCTTCGCCGCAGCCCTGGGCACCTCCACATCTGAGCTGGCACTTTCTGTAGCGCAAACTCTTCAAGTGGCGACATCCTTGAGTTCAGGGGTAAAAGCGCTGCGTCTGAGGTTATGGTGTGTGGCTCCCTCCCATTTGAGGAGAAATGTCAATCTTGCTTTGCTTGTAGACGACGTAGACGATTGTTGTTGGATAATGTCGGCACCCTCAGACCAATGCCCGCCGCGTGAGGACACAGACGGTCATACACTCTCAAAGAAGATCGTAGCAGGAAACTACACACCACCGGCTTTCATCACAGACACCGTGAAGGACGGGGGTGTTTGAGGACATGCGGAGGAAGACCGCTGGAACTGATACGGATGTCTTCGTAGACTTGCTCAGACCTTTTGAGGTTCACGCGTGCAGGACGTATCGGATGACAGGGTTGTCTGTTCTAGAATCCATTTGCATCCATTTGCTATCCTTACAGCTGTATAATTGGCCTGGTCATTCAGCGATCTCCGTCACCACTCCGCACAGCCTGCTGCACCAAGAAGAGACTTAGGTGACCTCATTCTTCTTCAGGACCTCATTGCCGGACTTCTCACTGTGGATCCTGCCAAGCGCTTCACCATTGCCGATGTTCGGTTCTTGGAGCCTAACCAGAGGTTTGAGGTGGCTGTGAAGGATCATGTGGAGTGGTAGTATAGAGTCAAACATCATACACACCGGTGACTTCCAGGTGCGGGCCCACGAGTCGTACCGCCAGATCCCTGAGGCCAAGCTGTGCACGTCAATGACCAGCATTGACGTGCTTTGCTTATGGAGGCCTCTGTTCGGCCACGTGATCTCGTCTCAGGACAATGTGGTAGCGCTCTTAAAGCTTCAGCCAGAAGCCGTGCATTGCGAAAGGTTGACAGTCCGATGCTTCGCCCATGCCTGCTCACAAGGCCTCGAGGAGGATGTACTCCAGGAGCTGAAATGCCATGGTCCGGATCCTACTCGATTTCAGAAGTTGAGCTAAGGCCCGGAGAAATTGTGCTGAAGGCAAATGTCAGTGGGACCAGTCTTGAGCA